TTAGTTTTGTTATAATCTAAGGCTGGGAGGTTATATAGTGTTGTAGACAATATGTCGATTTGGTAAAATAACCCTAAAGGGCTCTAACTTTATTGGGATTGGAAGTCGAATTCGAAATTCACAGATAGATAATATGGACGTGATGATTCCTCCGGACTGTGACGAATTGACTATTTGCTATTTGTTAGTTTCATATCATCTATTACGTCACGTTGAAAGTGCTAATGAGATTCAAAAGATTACCGGTATATTTGAGATTTCTGCTAAAGGTACCGTCCTTCTGAAACCTTCCACAAGTAAATCTGATGTTCCTGTCTTTGTAGAGATTCCTACTATAAATTTGTTCTACGTCAAACGAACAACAAGCAAATGAAATAAAAAGGTAACGTATGTAGTGTGAAAACTCCAAAATAATCTACAAAAAAATAATCCGCTATTTTTATCAACACCACAGTCACACGAAATTGAAAAAGCGATACAAATTGATGATTGTGTTGTCGGAAAACACCTTTCGAATGTTTTTAGCTCCTCCTCGATGATGATGTTTACAACCTTATTGTAAATTTTACTATAAAATGTGCCCACGATAATAATTGTCACATTTTTATTTAACAAATACATTATTGAAAAGGTTTTTGTGAATAATAATTCTTACAGGATATCGTATAATAATTCTTACAGGATGAGAACGTGACATTCATTAGGAAGTGCATGAGTAGGACTAAATTTTGGCGTATCAAAAAGTATATTCACCTAAGTGATAATACAGTATTACAAAAAAATGATAAATTTGCAATACTTTGCCCCTTTTTCGACGTAATGAATTGAAAATCCCTGCAATTTGGTATTTTTGAATTTAATTTATCTACAGACAACGAAGTGGTACCCCATTTTGAAAGGCACTTTGCAAAAATGTTAATGAAGGGAAAACCTGTGCGTTTTGGGTATAAGTTATGTCGCCTCTGTTCATACTAATAGATACCTATTTTAGTTAATCCTCTATGGTGGTGCTAGTACAACAAGATCATTTTAGGCTTACGTACTGATAGAGTATTAAAATTACTAAGTATTGTAGAAGTTTCATCCAACCACAGGGCATTTTTTACTTCTGTTCATCGTCAAGGTCGTTGACAATATTGAAGGAAGAGGAAATTTATAGAACTGGCAGAGTACGAGAAAACAGAATTAAATGGTCTCCACTAGAAACAGCTAAAATTATTTCTAAAAAAGGTAGATGGTCGTTCAACTTTGTTTTTGATAAAAAAGCTATAATGTCTGTAGTTAGATGGAATGACAATCTGCATAGGCTTTGCAAAGGTGTAAAATCGCAAGCAGTGCATAGAAGTAAATATACTTATGCCAAAAGTTATACATTACAATAGATATATGGGCGGCATTGACATAACATGACAACGGCATAGCGAGGATTGATTTACGAGAAAAAAATGGTGGAGGTAACTTTTTAAAAACGTAATTGACAGTTCATTGTAAATACCTGAAAACTTTACAGATTGACAAATAAAAGCTTCATTTCCCAAATCGATTTTCATATATGTATATTGTTCTTATGTTCATGTCGTCATATATTTTTGTTTGTCTAATGAAATCGGAAGATGAACAACAAGAAGAATCAGAACAGAATGAGAGTGAAGGATATGAAAAGTCAACTGTACCATTAACACTAAACAAGGGTAGACCGTTGAAAATTAGCTTGCTAGATGAAATCCGAAAAGCTAGGTCATTTAGTAATAAAGCATACAGAAAATTCAAGAAGAATGTGCAGGCAATGCTCTTATCATACTGTTTTTGTTTGTGAAAAATGCCAGGTCCACATTTACACAAAATATTTTAAGAAGTAAATAAAAAATAAAATTGTGTATTTCAATGTTTATATCTTAGTTCCGGCAAAAGTTTTAAAACGTACCATTTTTTTGTTGTGAGACCTGTCAGTATCAAAATGTAAAATAATATTTTTACGAGTTACAGTTTACTGTACCCTGGTTATTGAAATGTATTACATATTATTGCAGTATTTGTTTGCTAGGTGTTTAATGGCTTAATAAAGCCCTATGCCCAGAATTTCTCTCGATTTTTTATTGGTTTTTATTACAGCTAGAATATCAATTTTTAATTTTTAAACTTTGAGGGTATACAAGGCAACTATCGAACACGGTGATTTATTTAATCTTGCCCAAGTACTTTCGATTAATAGATCATCTTCAGGGGCATCTGAAATAAGCCAAGAAACGTTTTTTATAAAAAGGAAAATTAATTCACTTGGATAAAAAACTCCAAGTTTATGGTTGAAAAAAATTTTATATGTGATAAACGTTTATAGACTTACTTCGTCATTTGTGGCATATCCGACATAGTAGAATGACATAAATGTAAAATTTGGACATAACAATACAAAATACAATACACTAAGACAAACAAACACTTTAAAATTTATAAGGAGAAGCTACATGTACTGTTGTATAGAAGCCGGAGACAGAATGGGCTCCCGGTCTGACGGAAATGTAGAGATGACATGTGACAAATGACAGCTTGTGAAGGGCAGTTATGTGATCTGCACCTTTCAAAATTCTATGATACTAAGTATTGACCAAAGGTCCAACTGACACCACTATAGGAAATCGATTGATGAAATATAAAATTATATAGTATATTTTTTTTTATGCAGATTGAATAATCCCAATCTCACACCCAAACCTGTCTATAATAATTAGGATGTTGGTTTGAGAGCAATTGAAGTTGACATAAAGCATGAATGTGAGAAAAGACTAACAATATATTAGACAGTGGATGGTTAACTACAATAAAATGGTCCACCAAGCGCTATCAGTACTGTAAAAAAGAAAAATCTGAATATGCAGTTAAATTACTAAAAGTTAAAATCAAAATTGAAGACAAAATATATAAATGTGTTATAGTCCACGTAGTTCAGTTGAATCCACAGTCAATGGAAGAACTTTAAAATTAATATTGAAATGCTCAGTGCATGAAGTCTAAACAGTCGAGCTGGGTCCTCTACGAGGTGAAGCTGTAATAAAGTTTTTAAATATAGGATTAAATTTAGTACAATTAATATTAATTTGAGTATTAAGACAGTGAGAGTTTTCATTTGTTTCCCTTGTAATCTCCAAATCTTCCAATAAATCCAACTCAAGATAGTTTTTCTTTCTGCTAATGTCATGTAAGATAGATGAACCAGAATTTATGTTAAAATTGTGGTTTCTGGATACAAAGTGTTGACCAAAACTTGAAGAATTTGGTCTTTTCAAATGTTCAGAGACTCTAGTGGATAACTTTCTGATGGCTCTACCTACATAAGAGGCATCACAATCATCACATTTTAATTTGTAAATACCACTTTTATCAAGTGTATTCATCCTATCTTTGGTATTGATTAAGAAGGAACCTAAAGTGTTATGTGATTTAAAGGAAATTTTGATGTTATCAATTGTAGAAGAAAAAAGTTTAGATATTTTATTGGAAATGCTACTAATATAAGTGAAGGAGAAATATCTGATTTTATCTGAAGCATTCGGTTGGAAAAACTGTGAAGAATATGCAAGCTTTTCTGCAATTTTTAGTTTAGCTCTATTTAGAAGTTTGTATATAATGTTGGGATCATAGCCATTATTGACAGCAATCTGCTTAAGAGTATTAAGTTCTGTATTAAAATTATCATCAGAGAGAGTAAATTTAAGTAACCGATGAATTCAATATTAATTTTAAAGTTCTTCCATTGACTGTGGATTCAACTGAACTACGTGGACTATAACACATTTATATATTTTGTCTTCAATTTTGATTTTAACTTTTAGTAATTTAACTGCATATTCAGATTTTTCTTTTTTACAGTACTGATAGCACTTGGTGGACCATTTTATTGTAGTCAACCATCCACTGTCTAATATATTGTTAGTCTTTTCTCACATTCATAATTTATGTCAACTTCAATTGCTCTCAAACCAACATCCTAATTATTATAGACAGGTTTGAGTGTGAGATTGGGATTATTCAATCTACATAAAAAAAATATACTATATAATTTTATATTTCATCAGTCGATTTCCTATAGTGGTGTCAGTTGGACCTTTGGTCAATACTTAGTGTCATAGAATTTTGAAAGGTGCAGATCACATAACTGCCCTTCACAAGCTGTCATTTGTCACATGTCATCTCTACATTTCCGTCAGACCGGGAGCCCATTCTGTCTCCGGCTTCTATACAACATGTAGCTTCTCCTTATAAATTTTAAAGTGTTTGTTTGTCTTAGTGTATTGTATTTTGTATTGTTATGTCCAAATTTTACATTTATGACATTCTACTATGTCGGATAGGCCACAACTGACGAAGTAAGTCTATAAACGTTTATCACATATAAAATTTTTTTCAACCATAAACTTGGAGTTTTTTATCCAAGTGAATTAATTTTCCTTTTTATAAAAAACGTTTCTTGGCTTATTTCAGATGCCCCTGAAGATGATCTATTGATCGAAAGTACTTGGGCAAGATTAAATTAATCACCGTGTTCGATAGTTGCCTTGTATACCCTCAAAGTTTAATTATTCGAACATTCAACCTTATATTGGTTTTAATTTTAAAGGCAATCCAATTTGTTCGATTGTTTTATATCGAGAATTTTTTTTCTCTAGGCCAGTTATATTTTATGACGTAAGAGATCTCTCTATCTGGTTTTCTCGTCTTTTAAAGTTGTGCCAGTTACCGTTAATAATTTTTTAACTGTATTTTAGGTAAAAATCCCTAAAAGGTGCTAATATCTAGAAAAGATGAACTTGGGATTTTTAGAAAGGTATTACCCCCTATTCCTCTTATTTTTTCTCGCTTGGGACTGGTTGCATCAGGTGGAAAGCTACTCAGTTAACCTCAAAATCAACACAGGTAGTGTTTTATTATAATTTAAATATACATAGTTCACGTCCACTCCAACCAACTACTTGGTTTTAAGAGTAATAAGTGATAACATTCTTCTAAAATAAACCATATATAATATTTAAATGAATTTATTAAAAACTTTACAGATATATTGTGGACTACTTAATTAAATTAGTTAAGAAACATATTATTGTCAAATATTTTTAGTAGACTAATTTCTCTGTTTAATCGAAATACAGATACCGTTCTTTGATTTGAGAATTGTATCTGGAACTAACTGCAGTTCATGTTTGGGAGTAGATGGAAACAATTCAAAATTCCTTATTACTTTCGATAATGTACTTTTCATTGCCAGCATCGCAAATCTTTGTCCTAAAACAGAATAATAATATTAGTAAAATAAACATAAAAGAGAGCCTGATATTTGCCCTACATTTATTGTTTTTTATTTTAACAAACAGAGTTTTCTTGTATTTTAAATTGTAACACAATAATAAAAAAAGCAGTAGTAATTATTTATCTGTCTAGTACATAATTATAATTAATATATTAACGATATTCGTTTTCTCACAAACTAAGTCAAATTTTTCATTTCCATTCTCTGAAGTTGCTTCCTATTGACATGTTGGATATTCTCTAAGCAAAGCTGAAAGGCATGGAGCCAGCTTTAAATGCTTCTATAGATTTGTTTTAAATGCATCTTCTTCTTAGAGTGCCGTCTCCCTACGGAGGTTGGCAATCATAATGGCTATTTTTATTTTAGAACTTGCTGCTCTAAACAAATCAATCGATCTGCATTGGTACCAATCACGTAGATTCTTTAACCATGAGTTCTGCCTTCGGCCAACAGATCTTCTTCCTTGAATCTTTCCCTGTATTATGAGTCTCAAAATTTCATATTTTGGTCCCTTCATCACGTGGCCTAGGTATTCCAGTTTTCTGGTTTGTATTGTAATGATTAGTTCTGTTTCTTTACCAACCCTCTCCAGTACTTCTTTATTTGTAATTCTATCAGTCCATAATATTTTCAATAATCTGCGGTATAACCAGAGTTCGAAGGCCTCGATTCTTTTTAAATTACATTTTTTTAATGTCCAAGTCTCAGCTCCATATAATAATATTGAAAATATATAACAGCGAATGGTACGTAGTCTGATCTCCAAATTTAGATTTTTGCACGTTAGGAGTGGCTTCATTCGTATAAATGCTGATCTGGCAATCTCTATTCGTCTGTTTATTTCTACAGTATGATCATTGGTTTCATTGATCAAAGTTCCCAAATACTGATATTTTTCTACTTGTCCTATCACGTTACCATTTATTGTCAATAGGTGATGTATATTTTGTGGCCTTTTTGTAATCAGCATGTACTTCGTTTTTTTAGCGTTTATAGTAATTCCCATCTAAGCACTATTTATACTCAAGCTTTCGATAAGATGTTGTAGATCCTCTATACTTGTTGCTATGATCACAGTGTCGTCTGCATATCTTAAATTATTAATTAATTTTCCGTTAACGGTGACTCCCGCTTCGATATTATTGAGCGTGTTTTGGAAAATTTCTTCAGAATATAAGTTAAACAAAAGTGGTGATAACACACATCCCTGTCTAACTCCTCTACAGATCCTCATTTCTTCTGAGTGTTGCCCATTAATTTGAACTATGGCACTTTGGTTCCAATATAATGTATAATGTTTTAATGCATAGATACATTGAATTTAAGTCTGGAGTGTGCACATACTTACTTACTTATTTATGGCAACAACAACTTTGCCTCCGGTAAGTGCTGGGTGGATTGAGTAGCTTAGTAAATGCCAGTGCCGGTCTCAAGCCCGGATAAAGGAGGAGGGTTGAAGAGTTGGGCTAGCAACTCATCCCTAGTCAACATATGAAAACAAATAAATGCTAAATACTTCGACCAAAAGCCTCGGAATACAAAGGATGGATCAAAACAAAGACGACTAATGCAACGGAAAAGGAAAATGGTATTGGCTACATAGAATGTACAAGGACTTAGACCCAACAAGCAGAACTATACAAAGAATTAGCGGAAAGAAAAATAGATATATGTATTCTCACCGAGACCAAGAAAAAAGGAAAAGGAAATAAAGTGATAGAAGAATATATACAGATCTACAGTGGAGTGAGTAAAGATAACAGAGCTCAGAGAGGAGTCTCTATTGCCATTCGAAAAAATCTTAAAACAATATTAAATCCTGGACTGAAGTAAATGTACAACTGCTAATACTGTAAATAAAAAAATATGCACAACATCGTAATTGTCGGAGTGTATGCCACAAATAAAGATGCAGATCCAGAAAGTAAAGACGATTTCTACAACAAGATGAATGAAATACTCTCTGAAATTAAAGAAAACTGTGAAATCTTTATACTAGGAGAAAATTTAAACGGCAGAGTAGAGAGAGAAGAAAATAACAGAGTCGTAGGAAGATACGTAGAACAAATAACCAATGACAACGGAATGTGTCTTAGAGATTTTTGTGAAACAATGTCTCTCAAAATTATGAATGGATTTTTTCAACATAGAGACATCCACAAATTTACATGGATACAACCTACAAGGAATCTGTACTCGATAATCGACTATGTAATCCAACGTCAAACTTCCAAGCTGAAAATAACTGACATAAGGGTATACAGTGGCTCAGAATGTGAATCCGACCATCGTTTAGTTACCGCCAACGTGATAGTTAACTACCGCAAAAACAATAACACTCAGGTACAGAATATAGAAAAAGGACAAGAAGTAACATCCCCTAAATATAACCTAGAAAGCTTAAAAGAAGATTTAACGAAATTTGTTTACAAATTACGACTGGCCCCAAAACTATAAAATGTGGACTGAGAAAATCTATTAGCGGAAGAATTATACCAGCAACTTAAAAAATGCATTCAACAGACTGAAAGTAAAGCTTTAAGTTATAAAGACAAACATGAAACAAAAAATCAAGAATGGTGGTCGGAGAATATGCAAACGTTAGTCAACAAGAAGAAAACTGCTTATCAGAAATGGATGTCAACGAGAAAGGAGGAAGATTACAAGATATATCAAAAATTAAATCGAGATGTAAAAAGAGAAGTAGTGAAAAGTAAAAATGAGATGTGGGAACGAAGATGTGCAAAGATGGATAGGTATATGTGTGGAACAAGAGTTGGGCAAGCTTGGAAGGTGATAAGGTCTCTCCGGAGAGAAGAAAAGGACAAATCTAACTTACAGTTAACAAATCTGAAACAGTGGAAACACCATTATAAGGTCTTACTGACATAGGATAGATGTAAATTCCAAGAGATCGAAATGGAAGAAACATTCGAACACACACAAATAATTGAGATAACAACCGTACAGTTAAACGATGCCCTCAAAAGATTAAAAAACGGTAAAGCAGCAGGACCTGGAGACATTCCAATTGAGTTGGTAGAGTATGGACCAAAAATATGACATGAGATGTTGGTTCAACTATTTAACAAATGCTTAAAAGGACAAAATATCCCTGGCGATTGGAATATTGGATACATCAGCTCAATATTCAAGAAATGGGATAAACGCAAATGCTTTAATTATAGGGTACTAACTGTTATCAGCTCAGTGGAGAGGTTGTACGGTCGAATAATAAAAGAAAGAATAGAATCAGAATACGAAGACATAGAAGAAAAAAATGGATTTCGTGCAGAAAGATCGTGCACTGATGGTATATTCGTTCTGCAGCAGGTAGGTAATCGAAAAACGGAAGGCAAGGAATATATGTACCCATCTATTGTTTGTAGATTTAGAGAAGGCATACGATACGGTACCTTTGAAAAAAAACTGTTTCAAACATTGACGAAATTAGCTCTCAGTAGACAGTGTGTGAATGATGTCGCAAATATATACAAAAATGCAAGAAGTGTCGTTAAAGAAGGAAACGTTATATCTGAATCATTTCCAATAACAAAGGGGCTTAAACAAGGATGTTGTCTATCTCCGACCTTATTTAAACTATATATTTAATCATCGCTAGAGCAGTGGAGGAAACAAGTATCCGGAATGGGAATAGATATAGGCGGTGGTAAATGTCTAACAACTTTATTTTTCGCAGATGATCAGGTAGTCGTAGCGAATGATGAGGAAGACATGGACTACATGTTTAGAAAACTAAAAAAACAATATTAAAAATTGGGCCTCAATATGAATATGACAAAGTCAGTATCTTAAAATAGTAGATAACGAAGACGATCCAGAGTTAGAAATTTGAAACACAAAAACATGCAGTATTTCGTTTCTATAATATCTAAAGAAGGCATTACCAAAAGAGACATCGAAAACAGAGCGCAGCAGGGAAAAAAAGCGGTTAACATTCTAAACTCTCTACTACGGTCTAAAGATATTAGAAAAAAAAACAAAATTGACAATCTATCGAACCTTAGTAGAGCTGCCTTGGTTTGCATAGTTTTTATTTATGTCTCAAAAGAGAAATGTAAAAATATAAGCAATGTGTTGAACAGATAAAAAACCAAGAAGCTAATAATTAAAGTGATATTGGATATTATCAGATATAATTCTTAGAGAAAAATATTAATAAAAGAACAGATTTTTAATGTACAATAACACATAAAGAAAATATAACTTTTTTTTTAAATTGCGGTATTGCCAGATTCCAGTAAGATCCTAAGAAGGTATTCATTGGATTCTGACAGGCAACGGTGGGGCAAATCTTTTTTGGACCTCTACGTTACGGAACAAAACACCCTGGTATCTTTCGGTCGAGTGGGATACTAAGCCAAAAGACACCAGGGCAGTGCCTAATTAACCGTGTTCCGGCTAAAACCTAACCATCTTTCCAGAGAGGTGGTCTTGCCACTTAATAAACAACTAAAAATTTATATATAACCACACCTATTATCGTAAATCAGAAAATGTTTAGACATTAGACCATATTATAATAAACAATATTAACTATAAATTTTTAGATCCCTGGTTTAATTTCCTCTTCTGTCCTTCTGTTCCTTTTTCTTCATCACCCCAAAAATCAGACAGTGTACTTCTCTCCATTCTTTCTTTCCTCTCAACATAATGTTTACAATATTTCTTTCATCCAGCCCGAAACCCATTCGCCTCTCGAAATCTCCCATCGCATTTGCCTATCTCTGGCAGTTAAAAATGTGGGCGGGAGCATCCGGTACCGCACAAACAGTACAGTATGCCGAGGCAGATTTGCCTATTCTATTTGTGAAGGTGCCAAAATTACCATGTCCGGTCAGAAACTGCGTCAGGAAGTAGTTTAGTTTCCTGAACTTACATTCATACCACGGTCTCACATCGGAAATAAGCTCATTCGTCCACCTTGCCTTCCACTATCATTTATCGATTCTCT